TGTGGCCACTCGGCGGTTCCGGGCGCGGGCGTCGGCGCGACAGACACGTTCCTTGGCGCAGCACGTCCGGGAGGTTCTGGGCGATCCCGAGACAGCGGATGCGTTCGTAGTGGCGAGGCAGTTTTGCTTCCGCTTCGCGTCCGAACTGGTGCCACTGCAGGCAGACGGGCCCCACTCCAAGGTAGTCCTGTCAACCGTGGACGGCTTGCCGACGGCCAGCGTGCACCTGCATCGGCGCAAGACGTACACGGAGACGACGGTCGTGTCCAGGCGGTGCATCTGTGCCCTGCAGTCCCGGCAGCTTTGCGGGGTGTGCGCGCTGCGCGGTCGCGTGCAGATAGGGCGGGTTTTTCCGGCGCTGTCATACAGGCACGCCCTGGCCCAGCTGAAGGTGGCGGCGCTGGCGCTGGGCCTCGAGCGCGCGGGAGAGTGGGGCACGCACGCCTTCCGCCGCGGGTGGGCGGACGAGTGCCTGCCGCCGGAGGCGTCCCAGCGCTGTTCCACAGCGGGGGATGGCGGGGAGTGGCCGCCTTCGGTTACGCTTCCGCGGCGTCGCGGGACGCGGCGACCGCGGCGGAGTGGCTCGTTGAGTTCTCAGAGTCGTCTGCGTCCGAGGGGTCGCCAGCGCCGTGAGCCAGTAAAATGTCGCTTCCATGCGCGGAGTGCTTGCGCCGTGCCTTCCGCCGCCCCTCCCCCCCAGCCCTCCCCGGCGTGGCGTTTGCAGTGGCGTCGGTATTCCAGGGCTGCGGTCACGTCGTCAGCAGTGGGGGGTGCGGCCTGGGTCGCCGTGAGCCCCAGCAGTGGGTCTCGAGGTCTCGGTTGGGTCTCTCGAGCGCCCCTGGCCGGCCGCACCGAGTGCGTTGCCCAACTGTCAGTGCGGGCGCACTGGACCACCCCAGGGGGGAGGCAGCCCACCATAATCTTCGTCGTCCCTGAGCTTGGTTCCTGGGGAAGAAGATTCTGGGCAGGCTGCATCCTTGTCGCCATGGCTGGATTCGGGGATTCGTCGCTACTGGCTGCATTGTTTTCCGCCCGAGTCCGAGGCGGGGTATCAAGTGTCGGCACTCGCTCCCGAGGGGGTAGTTGTGTTGTGCCTTCCCTGGCGGCCCGAGGGCCTGGCAAGGGGGGCGCCGTGTCGCAGGCTCCCGTGTAGGCCCGAAGGATCCCCTGAGGGCCCAAGCACACCTCGTGGTGCTCGGAGTTGGCGTCTGCGGACCGACGACGGTGCCCCAGGAGGGCGCTTGGCGAACGATGCTTCGTCTGCGGGCCGAGGGCTATTGGCTGGCGTCGCCAGCTTCCCCGCCCTCCCTCCCTGGTGGGTCTGGTGCGTCGGCTGGCGGGGTCTCGAGGTCTCGGTTGGGTCTCTCGAGCGCCCCTGGCCGGCCGCACCGAGTGCGTTGCCCACCTGTCAGTGCGGGCGCACTGGACCACCCCAGGGGGGAGGCAGCCCACCATAATCTTCGGGCTCATAAGGGTCATCGGGCTTATAGGGCTCATAGGGCTCATAAAGCTCATAGGGCTCCCAGGCCTCACAGGGCTCATGGACCACCATGACGCACCATAGTGGTCGTAGGGCTTGTGGGGGCGAGAAGCCTCATATGGCTGATAGGGGTATGGCCTCTCGGGGCTCTCGTGGGGCTCCTTTTGAAGCTCTTTGTGCTGTGTGGCGGCCCTCCTGGGCCGTCCCGGGACCCTCTTGGGCCGTCCTGGGGGGCTTGGGCCGTCTTGGGGCCCTCTTGGTTCTTCTTGGGGGCCTCCTGCGGCCTTCTTGAGGCTCTCTGGGAAGCCTTTTGGTGCTCTTTGGGACCTTCTTGGGGCTCTCTTGGGTTGTTTTGGAGCCTTTTTGGGTTGTCTTGGGGCTCCCTTGGGGACTTCTTGGACCGTCCTGGGGCGATCTTGGGGGCCTCGGGCCGTCTTGGACGCGATGAAGACCAAAGAAGCGGATATGCTAAACATGTATGTTTTCCGAAGGGAATGGGACGATTTTGACCTCTTGGGGGTCTTCTTGCGGGCCTCTTGGGGCGTCTTGAGAGCATCTTGGGCCGTCTCGAAGCCACCTTGAGGCTTCTTTGAGCGCGGGCCGCCTTGGGGCTTTGCGGGACCGTCCAGGGATGGCCAGGAGAGGCTCCCGAAACCGAAATTCGAATTTGACGTCGGTGGGAGCGCCCAGGGCCGAATTTATGTACGGGGGAGGGGGGATCAAAAAGGGTTGTCCGCTACAAGAATATTCGAAAAAGAATAGATACGCCTCCAGGGACGCCGGAAAAAGCCCCCCACCCCCCTAACGAATTTGGCCCTCCCAAAGCCTCCAGGCAACCCTTCAGACGACCCAAAATAACCTCACGAGAGCCCAAAGACGGTTCCAAACGGGTTCCAGGCGTTCCGGCGCCCTCCCGAAACGACGCCCCAATACGGACCACGACGACTCCCAAGAAGCCGTCATACTCCGAAAGATCGCTCCGAAACGTCCCAACAGGCCTCCAAGAGCACTCCCAAGAAGGCTCCAAGAGGCAAAAATCATTGATTTTCTGTGGGTGTTTGGTGAATTTTGGGATCCTCCCCTTTTCGGCTTCCCGACGTTCCAAGACGGCGGTCTTCTGGGCGTCCGAAGCCGCCTGGGAGGCTCCAAACTCGCCCCACAACCATTCGAAAGGGCTTCCAAAGCAATCCAAGAGAGCCCCAAAACGGCACAACATGGGTCCAAGATGGCCCTAAGAGAGCCCCATGGCGGCCCAAGATGGCCCCAAGACATCCTCCGAAGCATTCCAAATCGTGACCTGGTCGTTCAGGGAGACCACGGTTGGAGGCAGGGTAGCCCGATGAAGCCCCCAGAGGCCCCCAGAACATGCCCAGCAGGCCTCCAGAAGGCCTTAAGAAAGCGTGAAAAACTGTTCTGAGCCCCCCGAAGGCTCTCCAAGGAGGAGCCTCCGCAAAAGCGCTGAGGATGGGTAGAATTCGCAGGGCATGGCGAGAATGCGAAAAAAGAAGCATGGAGGAAAGATAACGAATCATATTATTAGAACGGCGATGCCAGAAAAGGCAACAAGGAGTTTTCGCTAAATTGTCGGCTTGACCTTCCTGCCAGCCCGCCTGCATACCAAACTTCATGTTATTCGTTGTCTTTCCTCCATGCTTCTTTTTCCCCATTCTCGCCATACCCTGCGAATTCTACCCATCCTCCTCAGCTCTTTTTGCGGAAGCTCCTCCTTGGAGAGCCCCTGGGGGCCTCACGGAAATTGTTCAAGCTTTCTCAAGGCCTTCTGGAGGCCTCCTGGGCGTCTTCTGGGGGACTCCAGCACTGGGGGCTTCCTCGGGCCACCCTGCCTCCAGCCGCGCTCCCTGAACGACCGGGTCGCGATTTGGAATGCTTCGGAAAATTTCTTGGGGCCATCTTGGACTGTCATGGGGCTCTCTTAGGCTACCTTGGGACCCTGTTGTGCCGTTTTGGGGCTCTCTTGGACTGCCTGAAGCCCTTTCGGCTGGTTTGGGCGATTTTCCAGCCTCCCGGGCGGTCTCGGACGCCCAGAAGACCGAAGAACAGGACATTCCCCAAATCATGCAGAAACCTAGGGAACCAATGTTTTTCTGCGTTTTGGAAGTCTCCTGGGGGTCTTCTTTGGGTCGTCTTCGGACGTCTGGTGGGTGTCTGGGGCCTCTTAGGGGCCGTCGGGGGGGCGTTCGGCCGCCCTCGGCCCAGCAAGGGCTTCCAGGAGCTCTAAAACGCCTGGGGGGCCTCCTGCAGGGGCGTCCAGGGGGTCCTGTCCCCGGGGCCACAGGTCCGGGGAATCCAGAGGGTCTCGGGGGCCCGGGATTCGGGAGGTCAGATTTCGGGGGGGGGGGGTCCCGGGTAATAAATTACTCGACGCGGAGGTCCGCATATGTGCATCTCATGGTGAGGGCAAACTTCGGTAGAAGACATTGTCCTTTTCAATATCGGAGTGTCAGCGAATCCCACGCGGAAAACGAGGCCAAGAGAGACGCCCTCGACTACGACGACTTTAGATAATTGCTTCCTCCTTCCGTCCTCCTCCTCCTCCTCTTCCTCCTCCTCCTTGTCCTCCTCCTCTTTCTCCTCCTTTCCCTGTGAACACCTGTCAGGAAAATCCATCCGTGAAGACGAGGACGGGCCCGTGCAATACCCCTTGGCGCCCCCCCTTGGGAGTGCTGAAACCAGCGCCTCGCCTGAGACATCCTCAGAAACTGCTCCGAAAGAGAAGGATGTTGAGCACCCAAACAAGCAAACCGCCTGAGACATCCCTCCAATCTGGGCGCGAACGGGCCCGTGCAATACTCCCTGGCGTCCCCCCTTGGGAGTGCTGAAGCCAGCGCCTCGCCTGAGGCATCCTCGGAAACTGCTCCGAAAGAGAAAGATGTTGAGCATCCAAACAGGCAAACCGCCTGAGACATCCCCCCAATCTGGGCGCGAACGGGCCTGTGATATACCCCCTGGCGCCCCACCTTGGGAGTACTGAAACCAGCGCCTCGCCTGAGACATCCTCGGAAACTGCTCCGAAAGAGAAGGATGTTGGGTGCACCCAAACAGGCAAGCCGCCTGAGACATCCCCCCAATCTGAGCGCGAACGGGCTTGTGTTATACCCCCTGGCGCCCCCCCTTGGGAGTACTGAAACCAGCGCCTCGCCTGAGACATCCTCACAACGTGTGTGTGTGTGTGTGTGTGTGAGTCTGAGCGCGGAAGTACCAGGAGTGTGAGTGAGTCTGCATACGAGTGATCCCGAGCCTGAGATACCATATCAGGAATATAAGAACGAGTGCATCTGAGTACGAGTGAGTCTGAATATGAGTGAGTCTACATGTGAGTGAGTCAGAGAATGATGACCTGAGGGTGGGAGGTGTTCTCGTTCCGCGCGGTCTAAGTAATAACAATAACCCCATCCTTAGGACATGGGGAAAGTATGGATGGGAATATGACAAAGACATATGTACCCATACATCTCTGTTTGCACACTGGCATGCAACATACGAAAGTGTTCAGGTAGTCCTCAATACCATGAACTTAAGCTTCATCATCAACAGATATGTACCTGATCCCACTTTGCGACGTGAGCTCGCAGTGATACGCAAGGGAAAGCAACACCGATGTCGTGGTCACCTTGGTCCTATGTTTGATCTTATGCTCGCCCGATTAACAATTCCATCGTGACACACATACACAAGCACACACGGAACACGTTAACAGAAACGCGACGAAACACTACATAATTGCATCTCTCTGGCACAACAAAATAGACTTTACAACGGCTGCGGCTACCATTCTTGATGAAGTCCGCAGAATACTCCTCGCACTCCCTTATTGTTTGAAAGACCCGCGCCAATGCGTATGACACGTGCTTGCCACGGTCAGTGTCTCGCCCTTTACTTTCTGACGCACGTCTTGCAACTGCGTCGCAGAAATGGGAAGGCACTCGCAGCCACTTCTACATGGAGACACGAATATGGATGTCAATGCAACGCCATCCAATCTAAACATCCCATTCGAGGACCTGGTTTCCCGCAAGCGTTGGACAAGCTGCGAAACTTCTGCCTTTAACCCTGAAGACCAAGGCCATATTCCAAATGCAAGCACGATGCTGCATTTCGGCATGACGCTCCCTGCAAAAGACATGCCCCGATGGCTTCTGCGCCCGGTTGCATCGATTGAGTACTTCTGCAGACAAATCCGGAACTGCCCAAACCAGTCCTGCATTCTCTCCGTGAACAGCTTCACGTTGCCCTCGCGGATGGCCCGCACGATATCTATGAACATGACCTGCCCGCAGGTTTTTTTGTGCAGCGGCCAGCGCGAACTCCCAATGCAACCAGCGAGACGCGTCGGGCGCCCCCGGCGCTCGCCCTGCACGTAGACGCCCAGGCGGGGTCACGGCAGCACTGCGAAGGACAGATACGGTGCGGAGGATGCGGAAGAAGAGTGCGGATGTGATGGATGCACATGTTGGCAAGGCACGGTGAAAACCAATTGCCTGTTGGGCAATACCCTGAAAATTGGAGACCTGGAAATGGGCACCAACATCAAGACAGGGGGCTGCCTCCACATGGGGGGAGATGATCCTAGATTTCGGTATTGGTGGTAATATTTCGGTCACCTTGGAAGCCAGAATATGACCACCATCAACGAGATCGGGATCTTCTTCCCTCGGTAGAGGAACACCGCCGATATTGGTGTTGGTGTCAACCTCTAGGCCTGCGATAAGAAGAAAACGCGGATAACATACACCTCGGTGTCTGGAACCTATTGCAAACTTTTCTATGTAGCGAAAATCAAACGGAAAGTGACCCGCCACCTTGCCTTCTGCAAGAACTGGAGTGCCCCAAGGCTCATCAGCTGTCAGCGTTCAAGGCATTCACTGCAAGGGAGATTTGAAAGCCCCGACCCCTGGTTTCCTGAGCGCCCCTGGGGATTCTTGGGAATGCCTGGGGTGTGTCGCGGAAGCTATCTGGACGCCGAGCCGGCTCCAAACTACTCCCACTCAAGAGGGCCCCAGGATGTCCCCCAGACGATCCATGAGTGCCCCGACCCACGAGCATCCGAAGACCGCCCCAAGACGCCCCAGATAGTCTCAAGATGGCCGAAGAGGTCCCCAGGACGCCCCAATAGAGCTCCAAGACCCCCAAAGAGGGCCCCAAGAGACAAACATCATTGATTCCCCACCTGACAGGCTGGGGCCGTTAGATTTTAGGAACAGACTTCCCTGCCCGCCCACCCTGCAACCCTAAACCCTAAACCCTAAACCCTAAACCCCCGCCAGATCCCCAGGTCCACCGAGAATCCCCCGAGACTCCCGCCTCGCCACTTCGACGAGCAAGACAGAACCTGACAGAACGGAGCATAACACCACACATCAAAGCATCACAAAACAGATCACAGCAAACCAGGACATACCATGCCACATTATACCATTACATACCATGGCAGAACAGAGCGTAACAACACACTGCATCACAACACGTATCATTCCATATCATGACAAAACATACAAATAGCGTATCGCGGCATACATTAGTATGATTCTGTAGAACGTAACAGAATATAGTGCCATACCAGAACACATCATCACATGACATGACATACCATATAACATAACACAGCACAGCAACGCACACAATGACAGCGTGGAGCATGCATAACAGAGCATACCACCACACAACATAGCCTGCCATACCATACCATATCATATCATACTACAACGTGATATGACATAACAACACAAGACGTAACACATCATGCAAACGCATGCAATGACAGAGCAGATCATACACTACATACCATAACACCACACATTATAACAACACACAACAAACTACATCATACCATAACACAATATAGCATGTCACGGCAATCATATACTAGCACACCACATCATCACAGCACATGTCGTTCCATACCTTGGCGAAACATGGCATGGCAGAACGCGGCATAACATAGTATAACATAACAGAGCGTAACATGTCATACTACCATACCGCAGCAGCATATCACGACATATCATGACCGACCAGAGCATACCATAAGACGACAGCATAACCACGTATGCAACGACAGAGCGAAGAGTAGGTAACATAGCATACCATGACACACCATAACACCACATAACATGCCATGCCGTACAATCACATTTCACAACATACCATACCATGCCATAACAACGCATGTGATACCACAGCACACTATACCAACACATGCAATGTCATATCATACTAAACATAACATAACATGCCACCACACATCGTAACACATCATAGCAGCAAATGTCATGCCATACCATATCATAATATACAATGGCACGACAGAACACAGCATCACACAGCATGTCATCACATCACGTATCATTCCATATCATAACACAGCATGTCATGAGAGAGCGCGGCACACCATAACATAAACTAGCATATCACAACATAGCATGACACAATACGCGGCAACATGTCGAGGCGGAACAACGCATACCAGAACTCATAATCAAGCATACCACAACACAATAACACATCACGTAGCATAACAGAGCACAGTAACATGCAGCAGGACAGCATACCCGAAGTGTAACTGCTGCTATCGCGACGGCAACGAATGTACTGTAAACTCATAGAAATGTAGAATATTGCAGCGGAGAGTAATGTCAGAACATACCGTACCATCATATACTGATCATCGCGCAACATAACCAGCATACCATACGATAGTTGTTATACTACTGCCACCACTGCGACAAAACGTTTGATACAATATTATCGCCTTTAACTTCATTTAATGTGTATACCATGTCATCGCATACCATATCATACTTTCATGAACTGAACATGGCGTAAGCAACATCACCGACCATACCATATCATACCATACAATGATACGGCATAACATATCATAACATGGCACCACATAGTAGCACAGGAGAACACATGCCAAATCATGATGCGGCACTGGTGCGCACACCATAGCATAGCTTAACATGTTTGCACGCACAATCTAATGTAAAACACCTTGCTGATATATCAGCCACTGCGCTTGCAGCAGTAGATGTGGGTCGGGGGAGGGAGGGAGGGAGGGAGGGAGGAGGGAGGAGGGAGGAGGGAGGAGGGAGGAGGGAGGAGGGAGGAGGAGGAGGAGGAGGAGGAGGGAGGAGGGAGGAGGAGGAGGAGGGAGGAGGAGAGGAGGAGGGGAGGGGAGGAGGAGAGGAGGAGGAGGAGGGGAGGAGGAGGAGCAGGAGGAGGAGGAGGAGGAGGAGGAGGGGAGGAGGAGGAAGGGAGGAGGAGGAGCAGGAGCAGGAGGAGGAGGAGGAGGAGGAGAGGAGGAGGAGGAGGAGAGGGGGGGAGGGAGGGAGGGAGGGAGGGAGGGAGGGAGGGAGGGAGGGAGGGAGGGAGGAGGATGGAGAGGCCCTCGCCCCGTCCCGGCCCGAGGGCGAGGGCAAGGGCTGCCGTCGTCCAGAGGCCCTCCCTCGCCCCTCCCCGCCCAAAGGGCGGAGATCGTCCTGGCCAGGGGCGGAAAACGAGGCCAGCGATGCCGAGGCCAGCGTATCCAGTCTGGCCCGGGAGTCTGCGCAGATCTTGGGGGCGCGGATTAGCGATCCATGGATTTGGCGCGCGGTCGCCAAATCCACGGATCGGGGGAAGTGCCCTCCCCAAAATGCGGCCGATGCCGCCTCGTTCGGCGGCGCAAATCCGCGATTTCCCATGGAAGCGGAACCCGTCGCTAATCCACGCCCCCTTCATCCATGTTTGCGATTGCCTGAAGATCGTGTCAGGCCCTGCCACACCTCGTCTGGGTCAGACAACCAGAGAAGCACAGACCCGCATAGCTCATCATCGCCACCTCCTCCCCCAAGCAATGCTGTCTGACTTTTCCATGTGGCGTGTGAGATACTGCTGCCCACGTACTTGTAGTTCTGACGCCCTCTTTGACTGCCTGAGGCCGTCCACGATGGCGACGGCTTCCGCGACATAGATCCGCGCCTTGTTCTCAGTTCCCCCGAAGCTGTATCCACAATGTATCCACAATGAGGACTCCGGATAGCAAGCTGCATGGCTCCCTGGAGCCGTCCAGTCCGCGAGGGCTTCCCAGGGCCTCTCACAGACTCGTAGGGGCTCCCCAAGACTCCGCTGGCCGCTCAGTGCCTCCCGAAACTGCGCAGAACTCGCCGAGGCGAGCCCAGACTCCGCAGTGCCTCCCAGGACTTCTCGATGCCTGGGGCCCCGGGGGCGGCGGCGCCCCTTCAGGAGTTGCTCCCCGCAGCCGCCAGAAGCCCCGTTGGAGCCTCGGGGGAGATCGGGGGAGCCTCGGGGGAGATCGGGGGAGCCTCAGAAAGCCCGCGGATGCAGCAAAGCCAAGGCCGCCAAAACAGGAAGCAAGCAAAGGGCCCCGACATCGTCACCCACTTCCCCCCCGAAAAAACAGCAAGCAAGCAGACGCCGGGCCAGACCCTTGCACCAGAAAGCCGGAGTCGCCTCCCTGACACACGCTGCGCTCCCTTTCTGTGCTAAACTTCGAGGGCGATCATATTTCACTCGGCGCAAGGGGAGTCGATTGCGAAGCTCAACGTTGTGACAAGATGCCGTGGCAAGCACTTAAAACAACCAGAACGTCGACGAGACGCGGATCCAACAGAAACATGGCGGCCAGCGCCCCTGCGGCGCGACATGCCAGAGGCTCCAGGTCCTTCTCTGAACCACCCACGAGGCGGATCCCTCACGCAAGCTCAAGCAACTTCTGGGCTGGAGCGGAACTTCTGAGAGAGGACGAAGACGATGAAGACTCGTCGTCCGATTCCCCACTTGGTCCCGCGTCCAACTTAAATTCCTTGCCCGGCTCCGTGGTCGCCTCCATCTTTTGCCAAAGCAGCTCATGCGGCAAATCCGCCCGCCCCCCTGCCGCGGGCCATGAAGCTGCGAGGATGAGGGTGGGAAGCCTAGAAGCCTAGGGCTCATCAATACAATGAGACAATTCGCAACGTTGATGCTTTAGGAACGCAATACTTGGGCAACCGAATGACTTCCGAATTCCATCATCACTCATCATTGTCCAGACCTCCGCTTCTGTTGGGAGTCCCACACGAAAACAACCGTTGATTATGCTACCATTTCACACGATCGCAAGCTCGTAGTCTTGGTTGTTCTCATCTTTCTTGAAGGGGCCCTGGGACACACAAACAAATAGACACAACTAGCAGGATTCTCCATATTTTCAATATCTTCTGGGGTTTTGTCTTCCCTCCACTTCCCATATTTTCCTATATTTCCTGGTGAATCGATGATTCATTGT